ATAAATGAAGCTTGTGTTTAGACTTGGGTCCTACCCCTAAGTTGTCTCATTATATATATGCAAATATTCTAAAATCTGGAAAAAAAATTCTCAACTCTGAAACACATCTGATCCCAAGCACTTTGGATAAGAACTACTCAATCTGTAATTCTATAATATTATTTAAGAGCCAGTCCATTCTCAAATTTTCTCAGTTTTCTCCAGAATATACTTTTAGCTTTTTTTTAGAACTTTGACTCAATCAAAATTCACACTGCCCACTTCTCTTTCTCTTGTGCATTTGACATTTTGAAGAGACTTAGGCAGGGTAACCATACAAGGTTCCACAGTCTAGATGTGTTCTTTCCCTCATGGTGTCATTTTTCTTTTTTTTTTTTTTTTTTTTTTTTGAGACGGAGTCTCACGCTGTTGCCCAGGCTGGAGTGCAGTGGCGCGATCTCGGCTCACTGCAAGCTCCGCCTCCCGGGTTCCCGCCATTCTCCTGCCTCAGCCTCCTGAGTAGCTGGGACTACAGGCGCCCACCACCGCGCCCGGCTAATTTTTTGTATTTTTAGTAGAGACGGGGTTTCACTGTGGTCTCGATCTCCTGACCTTGTGATCCGCCCGCCTCGGCCTCCCAAAGTGCTGGGATTACAGGCTTGAGCCACCGCGCCCGGCCAATGGTGTCATTTTTCTAACCCTGTGTATGTCCTACAACACAGGAAGTTAAAGAGAGAGGCTTGACTTTATCCAGGTGAAGAACGCTGGGCAAGAATAAGTTGCAGGCCCTGCCCCCATTTCATCAGGAAACATTTGATGTCAAGCAGTCCACTGTTAGAGAGACTGCTTTTCATCCATGGTCAAGATGATGACTGCCAAATCTTTCCATTTTAAAGGTAAGTATTTTTCCCCTTCTTCATGCAATTAGCAAGTGATTTTGTTGTGATGCTTTGCTTTTAGTAAATACCCTGTTTCTCCAAAACATTTCCTTTAATGACTTTAGCCTCTAAGTCCTTTTCTGAACTATTTTACTCAGGGTTACAAAATAATCATTTTCTAATTCCCTCATTCCCTCCCTTCTCTAAACTGGCATTAGTAAACTTCTGGTATTTGTTTGTTTGATTGTTTTTAAAGACCTTTATCTCATATCATGGTCTGAAATGTACTTCCTCCAAGCGTTATAACAAATGATTAACTTTTCCATTAATTACTAATATTAAAATTAAATAGTATAATAATCTCCTCATTGCAGCACGTCTCTTACTGTCTGACACCATGGTGGTGTCATAGATTTTTATGTATTTAATGTTTATAGTCAGTTATGTTCATTATCCTTTTTGGTGCTCAAATTATTCCAGAACTGATTCTGGGTTTTTGTGCATGTCTCCATTAATACAGAGCTTGCTTGTTTTCTGGCATAACAGGATGTATCAGGTTCACGGTGTACTCTCCATGAGCCAGTCCCACAGCAGCCATTTCTCAAAAATAGTATTTAGAAACCACAATCTGGACATTAGGTGTGCTCATTAGATAAAATATTTTTAAAATAATTTTTAAAAGGAATGGTTGAGTTGGCAGGAAAATAGAAGCTTTTGGAGGCATCGAAAGAGGTAAGAAAACACTTATGGTGGTATAGCATTTTGGCCTTTAATGAGCCACAGACATGGGGAACAATCAAAATTACTGTTTATGGAGCACTCAAAAAAGAAAGATAAAAACAGAAACCACCACACAGAACCTGATATCCTGAAAGGCAATGCAGTGTGTGGTTGAATTAGGAAGATTAAAAAAAGAAGAAGAAAGAAAAAAGCAGAAGGACATGGTAGAATATTTGCCTAGTTTAGCCATGAATCTATGTAGAACTAGAAAGAAAAAGAAAATTTTCCCCTGAAATTTTCCAAATATTAGTGTGCCTTTACTTGAGATTGAGAAATAAATTAAGTAGCATACCTTTCTGGTCAACAAGTTCTGTAACTCAAACACTAAGTAATCCTACCCCCCACACTCAACTATAGAAAACAGAAACATTCTTCTCTGAAGAAATGGGTTTTACATCTCACCTCATAACATTTTCACATAAGCAAAATAGCTACCATCAGAGAAAGAGAGAAAAACTGAATTATCAGGAGGGAATTTTTTAAAACCTACAGAATATTGCCCCAAAGATACAAATATTGGTATTATCAAGTAAGGAATATTAAAACAAAAGGCTTAAAGAAAAAAAAAAAAACAGGTAAATGTATAATACAGAACAAGAGATTATCAAAAATAACCAGGGAGATATTTCAAAATTTCTAAATAGACTTTTTACAATAATTAAAATGAGTAACTCAATAGATGGCTTAAAAGCAAACTCTAGGGGTCAGGCATGGTGGCTCAGCCTGTAATCCCAGCACTGTAGGAGGCCAAGGCGGGCAGATACTTGAGGTCAGGAATTTGAGACCAGCCTGGCCAACATGGCAAAACCTCATCTCCACTAAAAATATAAAAATTAGTGGCGGGAATCCCAGCTACTTGGGAGGCTGAGGCAGAAGAATCGCTTGAACCCAGGAGGCGGAGGCTGCAGTGAGCTGAGATCGCACCACTGCACCCCAACCTGGGCAACAGGGTGAAACTCTGTCTCAAAAACAAGAACAAAAACAAGAAGCAAACTCTTGGCCACTGGGTAAAGAGAGAATTTATTTAAGAGAATATTGAGCTTAAAAAGTCACGCAAAGTGTAGCACAAAATCATAAAGAAATGAAAATATGAAATAGAGGTTAAGAGCTATTGAGGATAAAGTTAAAAAGTCACTATATGTCGATTCATAGTTCCTGAGAGGGGAATAGGGAAAATGGATAAAAGGCAATATCCAAAGTGATAATAGCTGAGAATTTTCCAGAAATGATAAAGACACCAATTCTGAGGCTCAGAAAGTCCAATAGATTTTAAATAGGATTACTGAAGAGAAATATACGCCTAGATGTACTATAGGAACCACAGTGGCACTGAAGATCAATAAAGAGAAAGTGAAGACTTTAAAAGCAGTCTGAGGGAAAAGACATTCTTTATGAAGGAACAACAAAACAGCTGAATTCTCAAAAGCAAAAATAGAAGCCAGAAGACAGCTGAATTTATATCTTCAAAGAAGAGAAAATAGATGCCAACCAGAATGTTATGTCTTCCCAAAACTATCATTCAGGAATGAGAGGGATATACAGACATTTTTAGCAAACAACAACAAAAATGAAGATGAAATAGAGATTACTTTGCCACAAAAATAAACACAAAATCTTATAAGAGAACAGTGAGCGAATATACTTTAGAAATACAAGGTTTCAGAAGGAAGGCCTGAGATACAAGAAGGCACAGCTATCAAGTTGCCAAATTTAAACAAAAATGGCCCTCAGGGTTCAAGGAAAAATTAAAATTAAATTCCAGATAAAAAACTGCATCACAATTAGGCTACATGATTTGAATTAAAGTACCAGAAAATATGTGTATAATGATAAAAGTCCCAATTCACCAGTAATATGTAAAACTCTAAACTTTATCCAGTAATGTATCTTTTGACTTTCTAAAACAAAAGGACAAAACTATATGGTAAAATTGACAAATTCACTATTATAGCAGACTTTAATATAACTTTCTCAGTAATTGATATAGGTCAGACCAAAAAATTTGAGGATGTGTAAGATTTAAATATCACAATTCACAAGCATGTTCTATAGAAAAAACACACTCCCTAAATTGAAAGTATATGTACTTTTCAAGTACTCAGAGCAAAATTTGCTCATTTAATGAACCACAAAACTAACATCTACAAATTCTAAAACATCATTACCATAACAGCTAGATATATCTTTTCTGACTACATTTAAGCTAGAAATCAGTTATGAAAATGAACTTTAATCACTCACACATTTGAAAATTTTAAAATATGCTATTAAATAATTCAGATCATAAAATAAATCTAAAAAAATAGAAAATACATTGAAACAGTCATCATAAAATTACTATGTACCAAAAAGTATGAAATGCAATAAAGCATTACTTAGAGAAATGCTAATGTATTTAACATTCTTATACTTGAAAAGAAGAAAACCTGGAACTTAATGAGGTAATATTCTAATTTAAGAGTTTAGAAAAAAGAAAAACAGAATAAATCCAGTATAAAGCTAAAGACAGAAGAAATGAGGAAATAAGAAAGATAGCTCTGAAGTTAATGGAAAACTAAAATAGCAATACTTTCTTCTGAATAGTAGTTCTCGGAAAAGGCCGATAATCTGACTGTCCTCCGGTAAAACTAATCAAGAAAAAGAGCACGCACTATAAATGTGAAATGTATAAGAAATTTGTTTTTTTGTTATTATAACAAATTTGTTTTACTATACTTAGTTTCCTGTATATAATCTTGTATGTTTATTTTTTGCATATTTAAACATATTATTTTGCCAAAGGGTCTATAGGTTTCTCTAGACTACCATGGGGTCCACAGCACAGAAAAGTAATAAACCCTGTTGTAACTTAAATATTGGGTTAAAGAGTTTTAGGGCCATTATCTTTTTCCTTACCTGGAAGGCTAAAGAAGTTGGATATTTTTTAGTTTTCTTTAAAACTCGTTGCATAGATACAGGAAAAGCAGGATGAATAAAGCAATAAGGAGACAAATATATGGATGAATAGACAAACAGATGTACATATCTACAAAATATTGGGCTATCTACTACAAACATACTGACAGTGCATATTAGGTCTGCAATTACCAGTATGTCCTAGGTTTGTTTATATTAATGATTCTAAATTTTTGATCTAAATGATTACACTATATTATATATCTTAATTACTGTTTTAGCAATATCTTGCCTTATTCTAGGTCATAAACTTACTGAATCTACTCATTAATGTACTTCAACATATTGATATCTATATGCATTTTTCCTTTTAATTAATTAAAACCTATCATATGCTCATCAGGGTTTTCAGTGTAAAAGTTGTCAAATTTAATGCAAACAACTATCTCCATTTATTTTTCAGGTCCACTGAAATGTTTTTTAATGAAAATTAGAATACGTGGGGGAAAGGTGAGCCAACAGTATACTAGAAAGTTTTAGAGAATATAGCAAATAATTTGGATAAATTGGGAATAAATAATTAAATTGGGATCAATTATATATGAGATCAATTATAGCAATAATTGGAAATAAATAATTGGGAATACAGCAAATAATTGGGAAGAGAAAACAGGACAGAGAAAGCCTCAGCTCTAAACACTAAATGAAAGATCTGTCCTTCTCAAAATAACCAAGGATTAGCTCAAAATTTAAACAGTCAAAACTGTTCCATTGTTTCATGCTCAGTAACCTAGAGAGCAATACATTACTGACACATACTCTCCGTATGAACAAAGCCCACCACCCATAAAAAATCACACCTCTCATAATTGAAGGTCTGTTAGGAAAACAATACACTAACTCTATTAATCATCCTAATTTTTCATTCAATAAATATAAACTGATATCTAAATATCACCACATATTGGAGGAAAACCAACAGCATCCATAGCAAGAATCAAAATAAATAAACCAAAAAGTTAGCCCCATAGGAAACAAATAACTTAGGAACCAAAATAAAAGTTAAAAATATTCCTATTAGTTCCCTCAGAGAAGTTAAAGATGATATTGCATCCATAAAACAAAAATGACCTATTACAAAAAAAGAAACACCAGAGAATGAGTTTGTAGAAAATGAATTTTAATTGTGATTACAAAAGAAATAAATTAATGCATTTAATAAGAAAATAATCCAGCAAGACCAAACTTAGTATTGAAAAGATTGTTTTAAAAAAAAATCCAATGCTATTTATTTCCAATATTTAATTCCAATATTTATTTATTTATTTATTTATAAAGTTACAATATGCAGGTACAATTCCTGAGTGCCAGTGTTAATCTAACAAGCATTTCAGGAGGGGTTAATGGAGGAAAGAAAGTAATCAAGGAAATAATAGAAATAATAGAAAAAAATTATATTGAAAGGCCCTATCAGGTGCTGAGCTGGTTACATAGCAGAAAGTTACATATCGATAACACTAGTAAAATTTCAGGACTTTAAGGATAAAAAAGAAATCAATAAAATTTTCAGGAAAATATAATAAGAAACATGTACAACAAAAGAAACCAAATTTATTTCAACAAAATTGGATGCTCAAAGACAGGAAAATATTAAAAAATTTGAGTGGGAAAATGATTCTAAATAAGAATGCTATGTATAGTTAATCTATTAATCAAACTTGTATAAAATAAATACATTATTAACCGCCAAAGATAAAAAAGTTGTACAAATCCTTCCTGCCCACTATGAGAAGTAACACCAGGAAATTACAAAATAAGAAAAAGGCATCCTGGCTAACACGGCAAAACCCCGTCTCTACTAAAAATACAAAAAAATTAGCCAAGCGTGGTGGCGGGCACCTGTAGTCCCAGCTACTTGGGAGGCTGAAGCAGGAGAATGGCGTGAACCCGGGAGGCGGAGCTTGCAGTGAGCCGAGACCGCGCCACTGCACTCCAGCCTGGGCGACAGAGCGAGACTTCGTCAAAAAAAAAAAAAAAAGAAAGAAAAAGAAAAAGAAATGCAAGGGAAAGAATGTCATAAGAAATGAACACCGTGAGTATGAACTAGAATAATGGTCCTCAACTTTGCACAAACATTAGGATCACTTCTGGAGCTTTTAAGACTATTGATGTCCAGCGAGAAGTAGCATCACTGGTAATATTTATTGTTTTGCCAAGGATTATAGGTACACCGATGTGTTTACCTTGTAATGTTTAATCACAACAAATACATATGCATAATTTTCACTCCAGACATCAATCAGAACATCTAGGGGTTGGGTCTAAGAGGGGGCATTGTTTAAAAGCTCCTTGGGTCACTACGATTTGCATTCAGTATTGAACCACTGCCCCCAAAGAAGCTAAAATGCAAACAAATTAGTACTTTTTGAACCCCTGGTGCAGAAGGTTAAGTTAATCATACCCCTTAAATCATAGCATGCTGAAATCCCTTTTGTTTTAGTGATTCATTTATTGATTTTTTAAATTGTCATCTCCCACTCCCATTCTCCATTCCTTCCCTGACAGTCATTCTATTGTGTTTAGTGTAAAACTTTTTGTTTATATGTTTTCATGAAATATGAATTGTTATGTATGCTTGTAATTTTATTTATTTATTTTTAATTTGTGTGGGTACATAGTAGGTATGTATATTTATGGGGTGCATGAGATGTTTTGATACAGATACGAGACGTGAAATAAGCACATCATGGAGAATAGGTTATCCATCTCCTCATTTGCTTATAATTGTTTTAAAAGGTATTGTGTTTGATATCTCATTCTGTTACTTCAGACAGCTACTGCCTGAAATGGTAAATTAAGACCCACAAAAATAATGATAATGAGTATGGTGGTTAACAACACAATGAGCTATAAAACAAAGTATTTCAAAATACTACTTTTAGACACTAGAGCTGAGCAAGGGAGTAGATTTCTTTCATTTTATTAGACACTAATTTTCAAGATGACTTCTCAGAATAATCAATTGCTTTTACTTTTAGGGGCACGTAGTGCCATTACGGCATAGTTTATGTAATACATGTTTAATTATTATTCCTCTGGCAAAGTTTTAATTTGCATATGACTTTTTTGCCTTATTAATGTCATGTTTTGGACTAATTTTTATGTTCATGTTTAGGCTAGCATAGAGTAATTTCAAAGTCCATGGACTGGTCATAGACCTCTATCTTGAATGTGGGAAACATTCTTAAGTGACATTTTTCTTTCATTGCATTACTTTGCTGAAAATATTTAGCTTTCCCACTGACAAATTCATGATTTCTTGAAAACAGTACATTAAAAAGTAGATCTGTCACTGGATAAGTATAATAGTTTGTTCTAAAAACAGGCAAATATCTATGTGTTGTACATATTCTAATACATACACACTGGAGAGCATTTAATTGGACATAGCTAAATAGTAATGCATATGTTTTAAAAAGGCAAAAGAACAAAATATATAGAAATATATGAATTCTTTTGTTATCTATAATATGCTGATCTCTTATTAACACATATGGAATGATTAGATAAACTCTTCCATTCCACAGATGCTGGGAGAAGAACAGCTTCCATCTTCCATTGAGTGAGACAGCTACTTACCCAGGGATGCCTTAAGAGTCGGTCAAAATGGTCATAGACAGTGAATGCCAAGCCAAATCCCCAACAAAAGGAAAAGCAATTGTATATGTTCATTCTAATGAGAGTTTTCCATTGAAATACCTATATAATTGAAGTTGGAATTGTCAAGACCATGTTGTGATATGATGTAAAATATTAAGTACAGAAAAATTTTCGCAATGTAGAACAAACGTGTACACAAGCATATCATATTTGTTTCCAAACATAGGACTTTAAATCAATTAAAATTAGACCTTAATCTCATTTGTTGATTACTGAGTAAGTTTGAACAGTTATCATTGATGAAGAGATTAAGAAGGTGTGCATTTTTGGAAGATGTATTACTTTTTCAATGAAAAAGTAAATTAACCTACTCTATACAAGCCCATAAGTAGACACATAAAGCAGAATGCATTTAAAAGAGAAATTTGGAGGAAGGTTGAATCTGATGACCCTATTACCAACTGTTAGTGTGTGTGTGTGTATATATATATATCATTACAGAGAATGAAAGAACAAACCATGTAGACACACACACACACACGTATGTATATATACACATACTGATTTGATCTATTTAATAACCTTGAAAAATAAATAGCACTAGAGTTATTATTTCCATGTTACAGTTGAAAAAATTAAGAGGAATAGAAGAAATCAAATGACTTGCCCAAGGTGCTACAGCTAGAGGCAGTACTGGGCTACTGGGCATACAGCCAGGTCATCAAATTTAATGTTATTCTGCTTTATATTTTATCTTGTGACTTCAAATAACCACAAGTAGCTGCTGTTTCATGTTCATTTTTAAAGTAGTTCCTAGTTCTCTGTCTTTTTAGCAACATCATCATGCTTGATGCCTTGATTACAATACCCATACTGCGGAATAATAGCCCCCAAGAATGTCCACATTTTAATCCCTAGAACTTGTGAATATGTTAAGGCTGCATGACGAAGAGAAATTAAGATTGCTAATCAATTGACCTTGAAATAGATGGTCTTGAATTATCTGGATGAGCCCAATGAGATCATGAGGGTCCTTGAAATTAGAAAAGGAAGGCAGAAAAAGACATTCAGTAGAAGATGTAAGTGTGGAACAATGGTCAGAGATGCTATATTGCTAGCTTTGAAGATGATGGAATGGAGCCATGATCCAAGGAATGTGAGCAGTCTCTAGAAGTCAGAAAAAGCAAGGAAACAGATTTTCTCTAGAGTCTACAAAAGAGAACATAGCCCTGCCAATATCTTGATTTTAGCCGAGTAAAACTCATGTCAGACTTTAGTCCAAAAGAACTAAAGAGAATGAATTGGTGTTGATAAAGTTACTAAGTTTATGGCAATTAGTTACAGCACCAATAGAAAATTAATACATATACCTTATCATCTCATAATACATACACCTTATCAGTTCACAATGGCAAACACATATTTCTTGCTCAAATTACCTGAGGTCTGCAAGTCAGCTGTGGCTTTAACAGGTTCTTCTCAGTTCTGTGCTCTGAGTTTCCTTTCTGGAAACCACTCTGAAGAAGTAACCACTGTCCGGGTCATGCTGTTCTCAATTAAGGGAAGCCACAAAAGATCCAAAGCCAAGCTAATGCTAAGATTTTGCTCAGATGTATTTGTCAAATTTAACAGGGCCTTTTGAAGAATTGTAAATAATTCTTAGTTGATCCTTCCTCCAATCCCCTCCCTACTATGCTACATACCCATTTATATCCATTACTAGACCATGGGCTCCTACAGGTCCAAACCTATCCCCCTAAAAATACAAACATGTTTCCTGGGAAGAATACTACTTAACTCCACAAATAAATCCACCCATTTGACACTTGTTAAGCTTACCTTCTACTCAAAGCAATGTGCAGGTAGCAGGGCATACAAAGCAGAAAAAGATACAGTTTCTGTTTCTAGGCAGCTCGCATTCTTAGAATGGAGACATCTACATAAACAAACATAATGTGAAGCACTAAGTGCTTTGTGCTGGTTCCGAGCTGGTCCACCTTAAGATTCATGCCTCCTCCTAGCTCTGTTCCACCCTGGAACACAGGAAGCTAAGCCCTGAAGGTGATGTTTCTCAGGATACTCTGTCAGCTGGCTTCCTGCTAGATTTAGCCAAAGGAGGTGCTAGCTATAGATTGGAGGACATAAAATAAAGGTGAATAAATTAGTACCTATTTTGTTCTTACCCTCACTTTTCCTCTTGATCTTGAGAGGATATTTTAAGTGTGAATGGCCATAGAAAAGAGTATCTGGAGCAATGCAGTTCTGATGGATTAGCATGTAATTAAAAATAGGAAAGAAAGGAAAAATGGATGTACGTAGGTATCTACATAAAACACAGCCATGGGAGGTGCATGCATCTGTTCTTATTTGAGGGTCACTTCATTAACTGAAAGAAAACCATTAGAAACACTGCAAAATTCTACATATGCACAATTCTATAAATATACGAATAGGTGAAGAGTATCAGAAATGTACCAAATATGAAATCCTTGCTGTGCACTATATATTATTTGAGGGAAGATAGTTGATTTGGTACAAAACGAGCTTAAGCATTATGCTTAACCTCCTGGCTGGGCGCTTAAACAGAGCAGGCCAAACTCTGAAGAAGCTCTTTTCTCCCTCACCCAGAGGTGGTTCCCATAGAGACCACGGGAAGGCACTGGAGTGAGCTGACACAGATGGTTGTGCGCCTATCCTGTCTGGTTAAATCCCTATCTGTACCAAGTAGCAAAAAATGACTCCAGAAAAATCTTACATTCATCCAGTGTTTCTTAACATCTACAGTGTGCCAAATACTGTGCCAGGGATCCGGGTTACAAGGATGAACAAGTTAGGCATGGTCTCAACTTAGAGTTGAGTGAAGAAACTGAAGAGTGGGGAAATTTTGGTTTATGACGTTGCCAAAAGTCACACAGCTGGTAAAGAGCTGGCCAAGGTTCACACCCCCATTTGACTGCCCTTGAAAGTCCATTCCCTCAACCCCTACCCTATGCTTCCCTTTCTTTTTCCTTTTACCCTCTGAATTTTTTTCTCCTGTAAACTTCAGGATAACAATTTTTATGGTGGCAGTTTGTCCCACTGCCTAATGAATGTTTCTTAAAATATACATTGAAGGTCCTTGGAATTGTATTAGGTTGCAATTTTGTGTTATCTGATAAGCAGCATGGGTCAGGGTCTGCCAAGCCCTGCCTTGACTGAATTAATCAGCCCGAGGCTGTCCCAGGGAAGCCAGCAATTCTGCAGTGACTTTCCCCATACAGATGGCCCCTTAGTCAGCTCTGAAAATGCAGAGGGAAGTCTGGCATGGCGTTACAGCAGCAGACTGGGTGGACAAAGGCCTGGGTGGACACAGATGCCCAAGCAATTGTATTGCATCTATTTCCTGTCATTTAAACCCAGTGTCATTTATTATTCAACTCTGAGTGTATTTTGGAGATTCAATTTGTAGGGTGTATGACACACAGAGTAAATTGGTGTGTGTTATCTCAACTCATTTGCTGGAGGACAGGTGTTCACATCACAAGAACCAACAGCCCCATCCACAGTAATTGGTGCCTTGGCTGGCAGTGTGAGCCTAGAGGGCAAGGACCAAAAGTGCATGAAGAATGAACCAATAATAATTTCCACACGTGGCATAGTGTGTTTTACTTGAGGCTCTCAAAGCACATTTTAGGCATTCATTCTCTCTCACTACAATACCGCCCAGGCTTGCTATTACTCTCATGCTACAGCCAGGAAAACAAAAGCAGAGAGTGGCTGACTCAAGAGCACAGAGGGACACAATGGTAGAATGGGGAATAAAAATTCAGGAGGCCTGATCTCTCATTCTGTCTCCTTGGAATCTCCCCACATCCATTCTCCTCTCATTTATTATTTAATGTCTTAGGCAGGATATTATTAAGGAACCTAGACTGGTGAATTCAATTTTGTTCAGGTTAATTAATTTCAAAATGCTTGCAAGTCTGCATAGTGAACAATATCACACTCAACACAAATAACAGACCCCCCCCAAAAAAAAAAAACAAATATAGTTGCCATATGTTTCAAATGTAAGTAGCATACAAACAATAATCACCACAAGCTATTGAACACACTTTCAGTAACATGCATATTGTGTATGAATAAGTATTTCCATGTGCACAGAGTGTAGTCAATCCAAGTAGGATATAAAGATTTGTATGAAGTGAAGAAACTCCAGAGCCAACATATCATCTTAACTACATAGCTAATCGTCATTTCAGAAAATTTTGCATGCAAAATTCACTTAAAATATGAAATTTAAAAACCCTGTACTTGTGGGGTTTATTAATAATGAGCAGGGAAAAAATGGAACTTTTGCCCTGGAGCTCAGGTGAAAAGACGTAATTAAAAATACTGCACTGGAAAAAGTGATTTCTACTTCCCAGATGGCATTCGGTTTCCTCATACTTACAAATAGCCATATAGAGCAAAACCAACATATTCCATTAAGCTCCTTCCATTTATAACAAATGCAGGTTTCTTTATCACTGCTTCAGAAATTCCAAAATAAATAAATAAATACATGAAAAAAGAGATTGACTGCCATCTTCTCTTTTTGGGTTAAGGTATGCAAACGTGAAATAATTTAAGAGATTTCTCACCACTAGAAAATTAAATTTTATGTATAACATGACAAGGGCATACAGGGTCACTACCCACAGCCATACGGGCAGTACACAGCACAACTTCAGGGAACCCTAACATAACCCAGGCTGAGAATGGAGACCTTGGGGTTGAAGAGGTAGTACTTAGGCATTATATTAGGAAAAGATAAAATTCCTTTTCTATTACGTCCAGTCTACCTGTTAACTGACCAAGCCTAGGCATAAATGCAGAGTATAAAGTTATCTAAACCTCTTCATGGAGGGGCACCAGCTTTTGTTTTACACAAATACCAAGATGTCATGAGTGATCTCTACCATAACAATATTTTCAATGTAATTTTCATTTTCATCTAAAATGAAAGTAGAAATAAAGGAAAAGGGGATAGTGATACCTTCACAATAGCACTACAATGTGTTGGGGGAAGAGGGAGAAAGGCTCAGGAAGTTAAAGTAATGGGTCCACAGTAGTAATCAGAGGATCTAGAAAGATGTGATTCTATGTAATAATCATGATTTTCCAATTTCCCGATAAGTTGTGGGATTTCAAACTATTAAGAGGATATAACCTTATTGAATAAGTTTCTTTCAAAGCTGGTTTCCACAGCTGAGTAAAGTTTTATTTGTGGGTTAAGCCTC